TGTGTACAAGTAGCCTTTATAATTTATCAAAGTAAGCATAAAAATTAGAGTACTCGTATATATATTTACGACTGTAATCCTGACGGGGTAGTCAGAAGTAAGTGTTTTGACGTCTACGTCGAAACAGTTTCAGAACTCTACATTAAATAGAACCACATTTCGTTGGTTATATTTGGCCCTAAAGTCAAGTATATCTTGGATTAAATTGATTTATTATCGGTATTTCCATTACCGGATTTATATGTTTAAATATCTTAACATTACAACAATTTATCTTTTAGTACCGAAAGAATTTATGACATTTTTCAAAACCGGAGTAATAACAACTAAACCACTACGCTGTCTCTCTAGATCGTTGTTCACGACGCTCTTTAAAGACAGAATTAATAAAATAACAGACGAGAAGGAGATAGTCAATCTCATGGATTTTATAAGACTGTCGGTATACATTGATCACCAGATATTAGTACAATACAAGCATTTGATCATCAATACAAAGGCAACATGCGGATATGCAGTATTAGTGCGCACTCATGCATGCACGCAAGAATCTTTTGATGGACATTTTGATCAAAAATGTTCATATGCGTTAGATTGTAAAGGTCAAATGGCGTTAACTTCGCACCATCTCCGCATCCAATTATATTACAAAATAACAAGATTGCAAGAATCAAAAATTAAAAAATATTCTTTCTAAAAAGTTTAAGTTAAGAAATTAAAAAGATTTTAATATCTATTAATATAATAATAATAGCCCTGGACCAGTACTACGGAGTACGCCAGTTTAATAGAGCATCAGGTATAAGTATTAAATAACTTGTAGAAATACTTTTTTACTTACATAATATACATAATAATCAGAGAATATCCAGAGATTCATGCTCATTATATAATGCATAGCTCATATTTGTAATGCGAGAAATAGAATCCGCAACATTCGGAAGTAAGGGGTGTGCTAAATAGCTAGCACTGATCCTATCAATTCCAGGATATGGAGGCATGACAACTTATGCCCCCGGAATGGCAACATAAGAGTAAGTGATACCATTCATACGTTGCCATTACAGGGGTCACATGATATCGGAACTGCTGTACTATAGGCGAAGGTTACCACTTACTATCTGGTAAAGCTGTCAACGAGATTGCTTTCCTAATTAATTTGCTTTTGCTTTTCCAAAAATTTTGAATATGCTGGTAGTATTTTTTTTAATCTTGTCGATGGGTCTCATTTTCTCTGCTTCCTAGCATTGTAGATAATTTGTGACCAAACAAAAGCCGTACTAAATTCCTGAATATTAATATCAGATATTGGTACGTACCGATCCACTTAACATATTGCAACATTCGCCGATCTAAGTCGACTTGCCTTTTACAGTCTGTGGTCGGCCGTGGCTATGGTATTTTAAAGTGAATTAATGATATAAACTTGCCTCATCATTTTTAGTACAGTAACTGCTCAAGCATACAATTTTGTATATACGTATAAATTATGATGTGATACTTCTCTCACTGTTTCTGAGGACTTTTTTTTAAATTTAATTACAAGAGTTACGCATACATACAGTTTACATTTATACATTAATCACCAAATTGCTTGATTGTTTGTTGGCGAATAAGTACATTCATTTTTTACAATTACACTATAGTTAAACTATAATATAGAACTACATCTACTTTACTTTATAAAGTAGACTGTCCCATTCTAAGACACTGGGTGGGACAGGTAATATGTTAAAAGTTACATTTTTATTTTATTATATGTTTTATTACTAACATAGGATAAGTTATGTCATTAAGCTGTTACTAACACAATGGATCATGTTGTCTGAAATAAAAATTATTATTATATTATTATTATTATTATTTACTACTACAGAATTGGCACACGAAAAATAATATACAATTTTTTTTCGAGTTAACCACCTTTTTAGTTTTAATTTAAATTTGTTTACTTGAACAATCGTTTTCATTAAAATATTATTAAATATTCTTGTTCTACTTACGCCTCTCCCTCTCTCCTACACCACCGGTTCAACTTATTTATCGTTATTTGTCTCATGCTAACTAAGATGCCTCTTATCCTATAATTTCACTACCATATCTCACGTTTCAACCAAAACATTTCTTAGAAAGCAAATTTCTATGTAGCAGGAATAAATCAGATAGAAGTACCCACGGAGAGAACTTTGTAAAAAGTCTACATCGGTTCAAACTAGATCACAAATCACAGTTGCGCAAACTGTCGCGGTTAACAAACAAGCCAATAAGTTCGTAATTACTAATGGATAATTAACAATTACGCACTGAATCGGATGGTAATGGGATAGCCTTTTATTACTTTATTGCACGATTGATCATTTATAAGTGATTGATGCAAATATTGTGCAATATATATTGACGTTTAACACATTAATTATAACTAATAAGAATGAGAAAGCGTGTTTGTGTGTTTGGAGACTTTCACGCCTTAACGGCTAAAGCAATCATGATGAAATTAAAACATATAGATGCGTAGAATTTGTGACAACGAAGGACTACTTTTAATGATGGCAAAATTTTTACCCGCAGGCCTGATTTTATAGTACTAGCTGACACGCGTAACTTCATCTGCATCACACTTACTTGACCTTTATCGTTATATTCGCCCAATTTACATATATTTTTTTTATTATAACCTATATGTTCTTAGGTATAAGCTATATTACAGTGAATTTTCATAAAAATTGACTTATCTATCTATCTATACATCCTTACTTACAAACATTCGCGTTTATAACAACGTTTATTAGTAAGATTTCTGTACACCTTCTTTAACTCGCAATCTAGGTAAAGGTTTTGCCTGCAACATATCTTCTAAACGAATGCACCGATATTGATGTAATTTTCTTTATTTGAAAGATAACGATAAGATCGCAATGACCAAAATTTTATAATATAGCTACTGTTAATTATAATTGTTATATGTGACAACCTTACAAAATAAACCCTGTTATTTGTCGACTTTATACAAAGTCTCGCTCTGCTGAGCAACGACGCAATAACATATATATTAAGAAAAATCTTGCCTAACATGTCTATTATTTTGCAATATATATTATTCCCTTGACATTAATGATCCTAAACCAATAAAGATCTTGTAACTTAGAACCTACACATACGATATTATGTAAGTATACGTAAATTATACTGAATTACTGATTTCAATTACATATTTATAAGTCTTGAAAACTTTTGATTGCTTCACAGAATAAAGTTGAATGGGTGACTCTATGAACGAATGGCGACAACAATACAACTCTTTATTAATATACTAGCTGTGCCCGCGGTTTCATTTGCGTGAGAAATATAGCCTATATGTTTATAAGCTATATGGCTGCAAAATTTCATCAAAATCCGTTCGTTTTTGCGTGAAAGAGTAACAAACATCCATACTCACAAACTTTCGCATTTATATTATTAATATATATATAGCGAATAGCTATTATACATATAATATTGTATACTTATAACAGTTATTCGCAATTATCCATACTTTACTAGTTTTATAAATTTATAAATGTGCCTGTCTGTCAATCTGTTTACCTTCTCATTTCAATTCCAAATAAAATATGACTGATGGTAATGATGACTTTTATGTTCAAAAATAATCTGTCATGATATACATATATATATATACATACTGTGTATGTATGTATATCATAAATATGCATATATCATAAATACATAAATTTGCATATGCTGCGTATGTGTATAAAGGTTCTTTACATGATTTAACAGGATCATACATAAAAGTATCTTACAATTCACGTTCATTTATCATACACCGTGTTACTGTATCACAATTAAACTAAGCTACCACAATTAATATGAATTGCCACAAAGATCATATATCAGTTACGTTATTACCAATGTAATAAATGTGAAAGTAAGTCTATCTGTCACTCTGATATATTTTCACTGCTAAACTACTGAACTGTTCGTAATAGGGTCTGTGGTATATATAATACGACGTTATATATACTATAATATATACATAGAGTTCTGAATATTTGCTTAGTCTTTATAAATTGCTATATTCATTATTAGTAATAGTGTGTCCTGTCCTTTGTACCCAACATCCTCTACAAAGGAAGATCTAAAAAATGCGACAAAATGCGCAAAAGTCGTCGCAACATTCTGGGGAAAATACATTTAGTTGCCATTGAAACGAGAGAAGAAGAAGAAGTAATAGTAATAGTAGTTATATATTCCTTTTATATTTAATGGAATAATTCTTATATTTTGTATTAATGCATTATATAAGAATCACTGCTGCCGGTAGAGCTTTCAACTCGTACCGATTTACAGTAAAATAAACTGTTCAATGATATCGGATTCATTGCGGTAGTGCATCCGGTGTTGCTCTAAATAGCTATTTAAACATTAAACAAATCATACACTTTTATATAAATGGAAAAGTGTGTTGACTTATCTTTTTAGTATTTAGTATTGGTCTACTGTGCATACTAATTCTATTTCTCTAATATATATTTTATATATACTATATATTTGTTACTAAAATAAATAAATACCTATAATAATATGAATGATTACGATATTAAATAAACTATATTAAAACATAAGTAAGCTTTTAGTCAATGCGTAGCGCGTTGATGTCTTCTTTATGATAAGCTTAAACTTACGTAAATGAACGCCTATTCCTTTATTTATAGTACTAAGTTGTATATTCGTATTAATACAGGCACTTTATATATATTATTATGCATACCTATGCAGATAAGATATAAATTTGTCTAATTTTGTATAGTTATATTTTTATTTCATGTTTATGGATACAAAATTATTTGGCTGAACTTTGCTTCCAATTAAAAGTGACAACTTAGTACTGTCATATATTACAGTACATGTATTACAATGAAAGACGAGATATTGTTAGTGTCTGAATCGTGATCAAAAGTTAACCACTCGCCATTTACTGTCGCATAAAAAATGTCACTCACCTTGACACGAGACAAGAGTGGATGCTAAAACGACAGCGAACACAAAGCTCCATCCAAAGCTGACACAGTTCCTTTTACCCCCCATTTTCGCACTACCACATCCGGATAATCTGGGCTGAAGCATTTTTCACTGACACAAACAAATGAAAAACATAATAATTCGGATTTTCTTTAAAAAAAAAAGTCGTCGACAACCTTTTTTCTCACAGCACTAACATCCACAAATTTTTTTATTTATTAAAAAAAATTAATGTCTTATTTTCGAAGCATTGCGCGAGCTTTCGCGTGTGCTCGCTGCGAGCGGCGGAACGAGTACCGTTCGAGTGGTTTTTGAGATTGGAAAGTGGTTTCTTGTAAAGAGGGACTGCGGTGTGGCGCTGGCGGCGCTTGACTGAGACGGGTCGGCGCACACGCACCGCTACCGAACGTTTCTTCTCTCTCACCTTCTGGCCGCTTTTCGACAGAAGTACACAACATTTCATAAAAAAAACTACAATTGAATGTTGAACTTCTTAAAATTATGAATATATGAACTAAAGAACTATTTCAATAACTGGTCATAGCTTTATACATAGTACGATACTCTTTGAGACTACAATTTGATTAATATTTCAACGCGAAAGAGAACAATTAAGTGTTGAACTTTTTTAAAATAATGAATATATGAACTAAGAAACTGTTAGAATATATGTACACAGCAGACATATATTCATAGCAGAATACTTTATTGAACAAGCTATTAATAGTTAATAAATATATTTTATATGAATGGCAAAACTTCCATCGCGCAGAAACTAACAGGACTCGACTGAAAGATTTTAAATAAAAACATATACATACATAAATACATATATATATATATATATATATATATATATATATATATATATATATATATGTAAATTATTAGGTTTGGTTATGCATTGATAGTCAATGAAGAGAAACATTTAAACGCAAGTTTTTTGCTCACTCTTTTTGTGTTGAGTCTGCGTTTCGAATGAGTGGTAGAATAAAAAAAAATTGTCTGTATAAAACTGCTTGTATTAAGTTTATTTGAATAAACTAAAATTAGTTCTATTTCTATTTTGACAGTAATTATAATTTTATATTTTTTTAATCTCTCTCTAATTTTAGTAAATAAAAATGTATATAAATACACAAAAATTTTGATGTGTAAGTTTTAAAATAATTTTGACACTACGTTATCATTAATTACCATATTCCTCGGTCTCAATTGTTATCAGACAGTACATTCCGACGGTGGTGGTACAATAATAATACCGCACGCGACGACAATTTGCCGAAAGGTTGACGACACCGCACGGCGAACCCTCACTTTCAAATACAGTCTCGGACACGGCACGCGTAAACAGATGAACGGTGACGGTATCTTGCCTGTTAACCATCCGGGTTTATACTTGCGACTGTAATTCAAAATGGAGTAGATAGATGGTGGTAGGTATTTGTCGCGGAGGTATTTGTAATCGTTCAAACGCAACAAAACAGAAAATATTTAATCTTATACAAAATAAATATAGATTTCACTAAGTCAGAATTATATAATCTACATTAATTCCTTTTTTTTTAATTATAAATGTTTCCGGGTTCGGTCTTACCTCATCTGGTGGAAACTCATGACCTAGGATGTAGTGCGCTTATCAAGAAGAAATCTAATCACTATGAACTTGAAGAGTCTGCGGTTGTATTTCTCCGAGAACACGAAAACAGGAAGTGTGTTCCGGTCTTTGGCAGTGTATATTAAAAATGACGACGCGAAACGTTCGTTGCGAATATGAGGAAATTCCACGACGTGAAGTCGTAGTGCTCGTCGAGTAGTTCGGTGATAAAAAGGGAAAGGCAAGATTGAATTATGCAGGTCCTGTGTACTAGTGCGCCAAAGTGTATCCACTAAAACACCGACAGACACACTGGCTACTTTGTCTGTCGATGTTCTAGCGTCTGAAGGCTAGCTTTATTAGTGTGTCATCCCCAGTTAACCTCAAAGGTCGGTTCGGCTCAACAAAGTACAGAGCCAGGGCTGCTATTTGATTTTTGGCAGATCCATCCCACAAACGGAGATAAAACTCCATGCACTAACTGATTTCAACTTAAAAGAATAAATAGCAACTAAGGAAAATAAATAAATTCAAGGTATTTACTATCTGTTACCTGTTACTGTTAAATGCCTCCATATATATTATTACTGTAGGAAGGTTGGGTGTGTTCATATGTGGTTCATATAGAATATATAGGATTTACATTCTCATATAATACACATTATCATGTGTCTTTTTTGTTTATTGGAATGTAACTGACGGTCACCGTGCTAATGTTTACCGTCACCACTACATACGTGGTGCCACTCACGAGTTCTCATGCACGAGTGTTTTGAGTAGTCATGCTCACTAAAATGTCCAGACTTGTAGCGGCGTGGTGGGCCGGGTCATTGGGCTCCCTAAAATATGGTCGAGCGCAGTGGTGGCTGGCTCATCCGTCATACTCGTGAACGGGTGCTGCTTGTGTGGACTGGTCTGCTCTAATCACTATGACTTATTTTCTCTTATTAATTGTTTAACCAATTGTTGTATATTTAATGTTTTTTCTATTTTATTATTTCATTGATTAGTGCTAATCGGTGGTTTGTATTCACACACTTAAACTTAAATTGTAAGTAAGAATAAATTATTTAAAAGAGCAACACACAAGTTTCTTGCTTGTTCTTCTTGTGATGAGACAGCATTCCGAATGAGCGGTAGATTAAAAAAAATGTTATGACTATTCAAAAGTGCTTCAATATAAGTTTATTTGAATAAATTATTTTCTATTCTTTTCTATTCTATTCTCATGAGGACTAAGATGTCTTGCCTCTTCTCTCGTAATTGTATTATCACAAGTCTTCTCCATCACTCTTGGGAGGTACAGATTGGGGTCTCGAGGCAATCGCTTTTGCCTCGACATCTACACCGGGGGCGAGATCCCCGGGGAACTTAAAGATATTTCAGCAGATAAGTAAGCAAGAATAGAATAGAATAAAATAGAAAATCATTTTATTCAAATAAACTTAATTTAAGCACTTTTGAATAGTCATAACAATTTGTTTTTTATCTACCACTCGTTCGGAAAGCTCATCACAAGAAGAACGAGCAAGAAACTTGCGTGTTGCTCTATTAAATAATCCTTGTAAGTTTACATTTACTAGTCGAAACGTGTGAATACAAACTACCAACCAGCACTAATTTTTTGGGTCAAATATCTTCTAACAAGTATTTTATTTGCATAACAAACAATATATTTATAAACATTTAAGCCACAGTGATATTAACAGGCATCGCTGTAATACGGCTTTTCTCAGTAGGCATGCAAATTTTTATTACTGAACCTAACAATTACATGCATTGTAACAATTACATCCTTATTATATATTGTAAAGGTATAACAAAGATAACTAGTACATAAACTTTACCACTTTCTGTTCTTACCTAATCGTTAGTAGGTAAGAACAGAAAGTAGTAGAGAATGCGAAATTAAACTCGTCAGTTGTCGTACAACTTTATAAGTGCGATAAAGAATCAATAATAGACAATACATTATTATAAACCTAATATAACTTACAGACTAGTGCCACATTTATTCAATTATTTTTTGTGATAGGTACCCTTCAAACGCATCTTAACAAAATAAGCTGGCATGGCAGAAATACGAATAGGTGAGTCTAAAGAATAAATGTTATATAAAATCTACTTTCGTATTTGTCATAAAATGTATAGTTATTAGAACCAGAAGTTTGTTATTATTAATAACACCTCGGTGATCTAAGTTTAGCTCACTGATTTACTTCCGATAGTCGCGGGTTCAATCGCACAGTACAAACATTCGTATTCATGAATATGATTGCTAGTATTAGTCTGGGTGTTTGTCTATCCGTTGTCTAGCACCCAGACTAAATGGCGCTAAAGTATGGATTATGAAATACAGGGATATTATTATTATTTAATAGACAGCACACACTTTCATTATGTTTTGTGAAAAAAAGAATGTAAAAATAATAGATACTAATAAAGGTAGGTAGGTATTTACTGCACAGGGTATATTGTAAACAAAGCAATAAACTACAATTATGGAGGAGAATTTCACATCCCCAATGTTATTTAGGTATATATATTGTAATGGTCATGCAACAGACAATAAGAATATAATATAATCAAAATTAAACTATGTAAACATAAAGATGATAAATTGAAAACCTTCTGTAAAGTCGGATTTATTTTGTTGCAACATTTGCCGTAGCGACATCCAGTAAATGATTTCAATATTATTTATTTACCTGCAATGAGAACGCAGTTTTAATTTCAAAGAATCGTAATAGATGGCGCTGTTTGAAATAATTCACTAAGGAAATAGATATGGTTCTATTATTACACGAGTTTGACGGCAGATGGCGCTGAACCAACAATATATTGTAAATGTGTTATTAAACTTACCCGATAGATGACACTATATGCTGGTGTTATTCAAAAGTTTTATGGCAATTCACAATGCTGTAACTACCATATTTCGAATGACAAACTTGAGGAGGATATATCTTTGATAATATTTTATAGAATTATTTTAAAATACATAAAACATAAGGAATGTTTTCATATGTATTAGTGGTATCTACTAGTGTACTTGTGTTGGGAGAAATAACATAATGATATTGTTAAGGTATTAACAGAACAAGAGATCAGAAAAATAACAAAAAATATATAGTTAGGTAGATAACCCGCATTCACAGATGAAGTAAAAGTTTAGGTAGGTCATCTGGGTACGCCTACAGCCACCACCTTACTTCCTAAGTTATATTGCGGTTGAAGGATGAGATATGGCAGTAAGCATACCGAAAACAGAGGTATAATATCTTAATTATATTTATAGCAATACTCAAGGGGTTTTTTTATGATGATAATGGAATGGTGCACTCTGGTTTACGCTGGCGGGGCACCAGTGGAGCATGATAGGATGAACATGAAGTCAGATCAGTTAGCCCATTGTGACAAATTTACCGGGAATTTATCACGGTGGTTTCCAGGGGGAACCGCTTGGAGGTCGATCTGACATGGTACATTGCTAGCAATGAGATAGATCATTGGTCCACATTACCACAGATAACATAATATTACATAACATTACTAACAATCCCATTCCCCCCTAAAACGTACATTACATTGTCATTCTGTTAATGTATACATGCTACCACTTACCATTAGTTGGCAATAGTTGTT